TGCATAATATTGAGGTTATTCTCCTATTTTTCAATTCTAATTCTTTCTGCCGTATTTCAAAATATCAATCTGTTTCCTAACATCTACAGTGTATATAGAATAAGAATGTACTGTTACCCGAGCTGTCCAAAATGATTTTTTCCGTTTTAGACATATTTGCTGTTTTAATTAGTTTATTTCGTTACTGTGGATACTTATTTTCTTTATTTTTTAATGTCTGCAATCTTCCTATTTGCCAGATCCCTTCTGTCTGTTAAATTCCTTCCATTTTTAAAATTGAATCATGGATAGTATCCGTGTTGGATCATGATGGCTTTGCTTGCTGTAATTGTCATTTTCAGTGTATCTGAGCTGACCCAGAGTATGGCTGACAGTCACACTGCTCTGAATTCAAAATGAAAAGGGGATGACAACTCCAGCTACATAGAGACTTTGTTTTAGAATATATATTTAAAATAACTAGTGCTAAATCATAAGGAATGAGAAAGGAAAATGGAAAGTCTTATAGGAGGAGATGGGCTGTTGTAAGAGTGAATAAAGCAACAAGAAACATAGTGGTATAGAAACAGAGCAAAAGAAGTGATAACAATAATGCTGTTATTAATAATATAAATTATTAATCATAATAACCAGCAATGCAGGAAGGTAACATTAAGTACCATGTACAGACAGAAATATTGCCCAAAAGAAATCCTAGCCTGGAGTTTCTGGTTATATGTAGCTAAAATTAAATAATACAGCACATAGAAAAAGTTGTGAAAAAAGGCCTATAAAGATGCAAAAATCTAAAGGAAGGGTACTTTACAGTAGATCTGACCCAGAGGGTACGGGTGGTCTGTAAAGAGATTGGAGATCACCTGGCAGAAAGACAAGAGACCAGAGCATTGAGGAAGGGGACTCCAGGCTGAGGGAGCAGAGGGCTGGAGAGGAGGGCTACGGATGAACCTCCTGCTGTGGGGCCCATATCTGGCTGTGTTAAATATGATGGGAAGGACAATTCTTTTGTCTCCCTCCAAGTGTAAGAGAGAGGATTTGAGAAGATAAATTACCCTTGATTTGAGTTATATTCCAATATATTTGAAGGTTAAGAGGACGTGTTTTGCTGGGTTCCTGGACTCTACCTTCCCTGGGAGGAAAAGTCTTTCCTCTAGGTGGAGGATGAAATACACCTAAGAAGCAGGAAAGCTACCATACTACAAAAAGGAGATTACTGACAGGATAATACAGCTCCAAAAAGGGTTCACTAGCTCCTCCATGCCTTTATAATGGCTGAAGAACATACCAGGACTTGCTGTCATGGATGTTTATGAGAAAAATATACTACCATGGTAAAAGTACCATATGGTTGATAGGAAGAAACACTGTGGCACCTCTGTCACATAACATGGAGACCACACTGTACTGAGCACCAGTATGGGGTGGGGATACTACTGGTTCTTTGACCCTTTTTTTTCAAACAATTCAAACAATTTCAAGTTGTTATATTGATGTCTATTTCAGACCAAAAGTTTTCCTTCCAAGGACAGAAATCTAACTCAAAAGAAAAACAAGATTCAGGTATTGTGTTGAGTACAGCACTGCAGGTAATTACAACAGACTGCTCAAACAGACCTCAAAATCTCAGCTGAGAGTTAACTTTTCTTCAGTTCCTTCTCCTTTCATCTTCCTCTACTCTATAGCCATCATACACCTTTTTTGGAAAATGCAGAATTTGACTCCCTGTGAAAGTGAGTCCATCTTTGTCTAAGAGTCTCTATATAGATTTAGAGAACTATTCTCACCCATGAAGCAGAGTCCAGAAAAAAAAAATCTTAATCTTAAAGCACACAACCAGAAATGGTAGCATTCGAAATAAAGCAAGCCATATTTCTGTTGTCAGATTGGAAATTTCAGTGGCAATCTCTGGTCGTGAAGATTCATGCAACACCAAATCATGGAAATGGCAATGGCTTTGGGTAATGGATAAATTCTTCTCTATTCCTAAAAGATAATATTAGTCTTTCAAATACTGAACAATTAAAAGAGAGAATTTTCTAATAAAAGTAGGGAAAATTGTATGTGATTAACAGTGTGGAAGATATTTTTAGGTTGACTCTTTATCCGTATTTGAAATTGTTCTCTGTGCATTGTTTGAAAAACAAAATACTCTTTATTAGGGGGATGTGTATAGGTACGGGTGTATGCACACATCTTATTCATTCTTCTCATCCTCTTGAAAGAGCTTTATTAAAAAGCATGAAAGCTTTCCATGAAAGGAAATGAACGGATTAAAAGATACAAAAAAACATAAAGGTTGGGGAAAACGTTAATTAACTTTTAAAGACCGTTTCAGGACTGAAGAAAAATATATTTTGGGACAGCAGGAATGATTAGCTGACTAGTGAAGATTCCTTCGATCCACATATTTGTACAAAAGTGCTGTTTGCCTTCAGTGCACATTGATAATTATTTTGTTCTTAATGGGTTTTACATACACATAGCTCATGTTATTTAATGTTATTTTAATAAAATTTTGACTTAGACTCAGCATAGGAAAAGGGTAGGTATAGAGCTATGTCCAGTGAGACCCTGATCTCAACTTCACAGGTCATTCATTAGTGAAACTAAACTAACCCAGGAAGCTGTGGGAGTCTGAAGAGAGTCTCAATATTTGCAATAGTATTTTCATATGATTGTGAATAGAATTTGGTCCTGTTCTTATTGCAAAGAATTGCTATAAAAGCTACAGAGAAACAAGCCAAACCAAAGACCTGTTAAAACAAGGGGGTTTGGGGAGAGGGGAAAGAGGGGTTTTATTTAGTCCCTTCTCTGAGTTTACCATTTTCACGTATGTTTATTAATAAGCTCCTCTTCATTAGCAGCAGAAGTCTTGGTTGATCGAGATGTACGATGTCAGTAAGAAAGACAGATACCTGATAAATAGGACTGTTGCTTGGTTAAGTAACCCGCGGACCGTGTGAACATCATCTCGATTATCAGATGCTGCTTCTAAAAAGACACATCTCCTTTCACAAATAAAAATAAGTAGTAAGCACGTTAGATCAGTAGAATGCATGAATAAAAATTGTCTGTTAAATATACTACGGTATTTCAAAAAGCAGTGGGAGGCTGAAGCTATGTTAATTCGCACCAGCTGAGGATTTGATATCACATGACTAATTCACTTTCGTAGCAAAGGCAAAAAGTACAATAGCATCCTTACTTCCAACATTAGCAAATGCTCTTTATAATAAGTTTCCATTTTATTCAACTTTCATTTATCTTCATTTTCATGCAGAAAATACCACTTTAGTTATTTACATAGTTATTCTAATAACAAAAAATTATACAGACGTGTTCAATTAAACTCCTCCCCTCCAAAAAATACAGTAGCTAAACCTTAAAAACATCACCCTTCTTCAACTTACTTTTCAACTTACTTTGAAAATGCATTTACAAGAAATGTGAAGTCCTGAAGCATCAGGCTTGAACAGTCAATACCTTCACAAGGTCTGCAGGGCTGATATAGCGAGGATCATGGCATTACAGGCTTCCCCGCTAACCTGCTTCATCATCCAAAATCTGCCCTTGAGCCATCATTTTCAGGAGTAAAATATTCATCTGCCTTCACCCAGATACCCAACTTAACTTACCAGTTTGCTAACCCATTAACACCGACACTAGCTTTAAGAACTGAGAACTACTTCTTTCCTAAGATCATTTTCTGAGTTGTTATTTTCTGCCTAACAGCCATGAGAGAGTAGCAACTTTCACTTATATTTAATGAAGAAAGTTGATTTTCTATTTATTTAATTGCTTTTAAAGATTTTCCTGATTCTGCTCACTTTTTTACCAGAATTTGGAGTTTGACTGTTTTGAAGAATAAAGCATCAGAATTTAATGGCATGTGCCATTAAAGAGCATCTGGGGACCTGCTCGTCCACTGTGTGTGTTTCAGATACATCCACACCATCAAAAGTCAGTGGAGTCATGCAGATTTATGTCAGCTCAGTTTTCCTCTGATTCAAAATCTTATAACCCGAATGCCTTTTGGGGGTAGAGGATACAAGATACACAAAAGTGCTGAAAAGTTCCAGTACAGCTTAGTGTCACCGATAGTAGTTCTGCTTCTTCTCGGATGGATAAATAAATGGAGAGGCATTTTTGTAACAATTTGTAAAGTTTGACTTTTCCTTTCACAAAGCAGTGAGCTTATAGAGGCTGTAATGTATTCAGTTCCTAAAATGCACTTGGCTTTCATACTTGCTAAACTAGATTTCATTTTGTTGTCTTAATGTCTAACCCAATTCAGAATGCTGATTACTGAACGGTAATTTATAAGGCTTTGAGTCTGTTGAGGTGAAGGCTGCAAAATTTGTTAAGAAAATAAAAGGTAATACAAGAATTGTAATAGTTCCAAGGGAATAAGTTACCTCACTGCAGTGTGCTTATGCATCTTGTTTTGCACCTGTGCTTTAAAGCAATTCTGTGCTCCTGCTGCTGAATGGTGCAGCACCACTCTGCTGACAGCAGAGCAGGCAGTGAGGAAGCAAAAAGGATGATATCAGACTCATGCATCATGTTAACCAGCAATATGGTATTCTGCATGAATACAGTTGATCTCTGAAGTATCATCCATGCTGCTTTTGCTCACAAGTTTCATGTCAGGCCAGCCCTACATTTGAAGTGAGGCTATCAAAGCAGCTGTGGCCACAGTTTTGGTTTGACTGGATTTGGTCTGATTTCTTGCATGATATTGTGCAAGGACTTTTGGGATGCTGTTTATCAGGGTAGACTTGTAGCATAACATTTGAAAATATTCCATCCCAGAGGAAAAACAGCACTTCTGAAGACAAGGATGAAGAGGCTTATTAGGATTTCTGGAAAACAGCGCAGAGGGGCCGACATAATGTTGGTAAGATTTGGGACCGATGATGAAATCTGTAATAGCTCAACAGAGTTAGCAGCCGCATTGATAGACAGGATTTAATGATTTACTGAGGATCTATCATTGCTTTGAGTTTATATGCACGTGGTGCTGGCATTTCCTGTCCCAATCCCACTCTTGCACTTGGGCAACTAAATTCCCCTTTGGCAAAGGAGTGATGGGCTCCCTTTTCTCTTTCCAAGCAGAGATGATGATGGTGTCAGCACTTCTCTATACTGGCCTAGTGGCGAAACATCCCTGGGAACTGGAGACACCAAACCGAGGATTCCTTCTGAGTCTGAAGGCACTTAAATGCACATCTTCTCCCACCAAGGCGAACGCAGCAGTTGCCTGCGCAGGCACCAGTCTGCACCAAAGACATGTTCCATCCCTCCAGCACCACAGGGCTGCCAAAAGGCAAAGTTAACGGTAAGGTACAGGGTTTCCAAACAAGAGACAGTGTAACTCTGGAACATTGTGGCTAGTAGCTCCCTTTCTGGGGACGGCAATGTCAAACTCTGCTACCAGCACTGAATTAAATAGTCTTTGAATAAAACATGTGAACAACATTAGGAACATAGACTAACCCTCATGTATCAATGGGCTACAAAGCAAGCTTCTTTCTTCCCCCTTACTCTATGACCTCATGAATCTTGCATTACTGAGCACAGTAGCTCAGCTTCTCTGTGTATCTGTACATAAGCCTGCCTGCTGTATAGGCTTGAGCATGATTTGGGACCGTTACCAGTGCTGAAAAAAATACTGATTCCTTAAAGAAATGCAGTTGCTTATTCTTCTCTGCAACAGTCTTTTGTATAGGATCAAGGAGTGTGTCCAGACTGTTTATTTCCTTTTTGTACTTCAGCTACAGTACGGGGAAAGATTTGATATTTCCAAGTATTTCTTCTGATCTTTTTTCCAATTTGGTGTTTCAATGCAAAGTTTTAATTGTCATTTCCATAAATCTATTTTTCACAAGCATCAAAGTGGTGTGAGGCAGACTGTACTCAATAGCTGGCATATTTTAATAGCTCATTTTACTGCATGCATTTCTTACAAAAAAAATCAAAGGATGCTAAACACCAACAAATAATGTTTAAAAGAGTATAATATTTTATTTGGATTCAGTTCCATATTGTAGTGGTCTATTGCCTTAACGAGCCCAGGAAACAATTGTTGGCTGTATGCTCAGCCTTAGTTTTTATATTGAGAGATTTTTCAACTGTTTCATTCCTTTGTAATCTTAATCAAGAGGAACCTAGTTTTTTATTTATTTTATAATGCCTTGAGCCTTTTATAACGATCTTTTCTCTTTAACTCCAAGAAACCGTAGGGAAATCTCCCGGTTTTAAATGTAATCCCCACTGGCACTGGTCAGAATTTGTACTTTCAAATAGAATTTTTTGCAAAATGAAATATTTTGGAAAATTTATGTACACATAAACAGACATACACAGATATATGTCCATTAAAAATAGATGCTCAGTGCACACTAACTCTGAAATGTTGGCTGAAACTTATAAACAGTCTCCCCCCACACATAGACGCACTGAAGGCATAAACATTTTGAGAGGCAGTCCTCCAAAACAAATACTATTCCCAGCATACATTCTAAATGCATATACATTGCCACTTTCCAAATATTGCAGCATATTTCTCATGTAGCTGTACAATCTTCTGTGCTGGTCAGTGGATTTCTGCAAGGTAATGTTTTGTAAATAAACTAGGACTTAAAATGATTTTTAACACAATTGTGCCATAAATAAATCTTAGGCAGCTGGTAACCATCGTCAGGTTTGGGAGTACTCTGAAATATCCGTATGATCTTAAAAATTAGAAGCAACAATCCACGAGTAAGAATATTCAAAAAATACCTTTTTTCATTATTGCCTGTTGCCTTCCTGTTTTCCTCCTGCTCTTTTAAAAGATGTTGTTGAGAAGCTTCAATCCCCTAAGCCAAAATGAAGAAACTGAACATTTATTTGGAAAAAGGTGAATGTCAGTGATTATCAAACGGAGTCTAAAGCTTTTTAAAGGGGGATATAAACTGTCACGTTCCAGGTTGCAAGCAAGTTGCTGCCTAAGAAGTATGAGACGGGACATTTCCCTGTGGTCAGCTTGTTTCTCTAACTGTGGCTTTTACTATGTTTTCCTCAAAAACACGTGGGACTGGCCATAGTCTTCTGCCAGGACGCTGCCAGGGCACATCAAGGCATTTCCTACTGTTCTCAGAATATGAAACTATCATATCACATGCACAGCAGTTACATTTCCTTGTATTTTTCTTCTTTCTATTAATAGCAATAGTTTGCAGCATAATATATACTTTGAATTCTCACATACCGAGACTTAAAACTGGAAACTTCTGGAAGACGATTGTCGCCTAACTTGTGAGCGCTCTGGAACCACTCCCGTCTTTCTCAAAGAGCCGAGGTCGTATACCTGGAAAAAAAACCCTTAGAAAGGAATTCACTTGTTTCGGTTGCCACTTCCTGTAACCAGCTAATTGTGTTCTAAATCTTTTTTGCCACGAACACTAAAAGCAGAGTTCTCTCTACTCGACCAAATTCCTGTCTGTGCACAACTTTAGCATACTGTAAAACATAAAGAAGCCTGCTGCTGTAACAAACCTCAGTCTGTCAAAAGCTCCAAATGGGAACGCGTCTTTTGGAGCAAGTGGATGTTATCAAGCTATACAGCAACTGGCCCTTTGAGAGTCAAATCTCCAAGAGCTGCGGCAGGGACCGTGCCATTAGGAGGGAGCTTTGAGCACAAAGAAGTGAATGGTGGCTCTCTATATGCAACAGAGAGCCTCGTTCCAGCCCATCTCCATGGATGGGTGTCAGAATTAGTCTGGAAGCAGGTAGGCATGGGATGGGATGGCACTAGCACTGGTTGCACCTTGAGCCTGGGAAGCCGTTCAGCTATACAGTTCTGGTTATACTTGTGCTTTTCAGAAGCACAAGTAGTAGCTCTCGTGGTATTTTCATGCACCTATTCAAAAGCACATCTCCTTCCCCTTCTAACAGCCCTAAGGATGGCCTTTCTATTCTCTGACTGGTGCCCACAGCACACATCTTCTCTAAGCTCCTCCTGGAAATGCCAGACTATCTCAAGTAATGTTCAGACCTCTAGAAAGGAATAACGCCAGAGATCCCATAAGGTTATCATTGCTATCACTTTGGTTTGAAAGGGTTACAAAGATGACGGTGATGATCAGCAGGTTAAAATGACTAGTGATCACTCAAAAGCAGGACCTGCTTTAGATATCTTGTCCTTTGACCTTATGTCTTTGATCTTACGTGTCTTTGATTGGATTTCATTTTTTGTGAAACCTAGTAACAGCACCAGATACAAGTTCCTGTTAACTAAAATATGCAATTTTGGATTGCAGAACTTGGTTCTTCACCAAAATTTAAGGCGGGGGGAGGAGAACAACAACAACAAAAACCACATGTGTACAGTAAGGCCTAGAATCCTCTGTACTTGCCTTGCTATGAGCTTCAAATATTTCTCTGTAAAGACTCCTTTATGAATTCTGTTCTCTGTAAAAGTTCCTCAGCCTTTAATCTTTATTTTCAGTTTACCCAAGCTGATTACTTGTACATGGCAGGAATAAAAGCGAAGGATACTACTTTTAGAACTTTAAATTTTTTTTTAATGTAACTCTAGTGTTTATACAAAAACATCCGAGCAATCTGACCACTGTTCTTTCAAAAATGTACACCAAAAGCTTATTGCAGCAAACATGTTAATCACTTTTATTATTCCTGAGAGGGGACACTCTGCATCATGAAGACATAAAGGGGCATCCTCATTTTGTTTAAATTTGCAAAGATTCACTGATTTTAAAGAGTTAAAAGAATTCACTTCTCTGAAAGTCTGATCGGTGGTTCTGATGTAGGAGTAATTTATTGTGGCTTAATGAGTGGCTGTGCATCAGGTGAGCTCACTCTTCTGCACATTTTTATCCTTCATGAATGCCAAATAACACACATCAGCTTAAACCTCTGTCACTGACACTTAGACTAATGCGTTTTACTTGTTTTCTCTGTGCTAAGAGCATGTGCCCAGTTAATTACCACAGTCCAGTTGATGAGTGATAACTTAAGTCACACTAACTCAATAGTGAATCTGAGTTGCTGGTGTCTTATGAGGTTCTCTGGCACATAAGGATGGTACAGCAGCTTCTGTTTAAGAACTCTAGTAAATAACGAGAAGAGGTGAATGAAATGCTCACATATACATGGGCTTTATCTGATCTGACTCCAGTCTTCTACTCTATGGAGATCAATCTGAACTAGCTGTCTAAGCTTCCACTGTAGTCAATGAAGATCTATGTCAATACAGTCTTCAGAGGGACCTTGACAGGCTGGAGGAATGGGTGGAGAGGAACCTCATGAAGTTCAACAAAGGCAAGTGCAGAGTTCTGCACCTGGGGAGGAATAACCCCATGCACCAGTACAGGCTCGGGGTTGTCCTACTGGAAAGCAGCTCTGGAGAGAAGAACCTGGGGGTCCTGGTGGACAAAAAGTTAACCATGAGCCAGTAGCGTGCCCTTGCAGTAAAGAAGGCCAGCAGCATCCTGGGCTGCATTAGGAAAATCATTGCCAGCAGGTTGAAGAAGGTGACCCTTCCCCTCTACCCAGCCCAGGTGATGCTACATCTGGAGTACTGTGTCCAGTTCTGGGCTCCCCAGTACAAGAGCAAGCCCAGTGAAAGGCTATTAAGATGATTAAGGGATTGGAGCATCTCTCACGTGAAGAAAGGCTGAGAGAGCTGGGATTGTTTAGCCTACAGAAGAGAAGGCTCAGGGGTGATCTTACCAATGTGTATAAATAGCTGATGAAATAAGATGGAGCCAGACTCCTTTCAGTGGTGCCCAGTGACAGGACAAGAGGTAATGGGCACAAACTGGGCAAAAACACAGGAAGTCCCATCTAAATATAAGAAAAAATCTTTTTTACTCTTAGGGTGACGGAGCACTGGAACAGGCTGCCCAGAGAGATTGTGGAGTCTCCTTTCCTGAAGATATTCAAAAGCCATCTGGATACAGTCCTGGGCAACCTGCTCTACGTAACGCTGCCTGAGCAGCGGCGTTAGACTAGGTAATCTCCAAAAGTCCCTTCCAACCTCAACCATTCTGCGATTCTGTGATTCTGTGATTCCGATTCTGTGACTGAAGGGAGTTTAGTAGCTCGATTGAATTCCCATGCATAGGTGCCTACGGTGTTTGAGTTGCCCTAGAGTAGGTCAGATATCTTCAGGGGTGACCGATGCTATTCAGAGCCATAGGAGATCGTGACCTTCTGCAGTGGCATTTGAGGGCCAGGCAGGAATCTTAAAAAATCTGCCTCTGTGTAGGCATTTGAATCTAGCTCTGGCGTGCAATTCACCTCACCAAATTCAGGAATGTGCTATTCCTACACATTCACTATCATCTGTTGTCAGAGACAGGCCAGTAAACTAGGTGTACCTTCGATCTTAGATGCAACCCTCCTAAATGTACTGAAATGGCACAGATTTTTATTTTAAGGCTGAACTGCTAGAAACTATATAAAAAAAAAGCAGATGAGAAGCAGGGTTTGGGTTGTGAGCTGGGTAACTGAGATCAGAATGGAGATAGCAGTCCAAACCTCCTCTCAAAACTTTCCTCCAGTCATTCTTCCTTCTGTTTCTTCTGCTCCTCCCTCTCAGAACTGCACCCTCCTTTCTTGGCTTGTCAGACAAATCCTCCTCCTCTCTCTATAACTCTGCCCACTCAATCTTGGACACAGAAGTCCTTACAACTCTGTGTCACTGTTTTGGAAACCAGTTCTGTCAGCTATGTACCCCAGTCCCCGTCCTTCCTGATTGTCACTGGACCTGCTTTCCAGAGACCTTGGGGGTTCATGTTGCTGAACTGGGAAGACTCCTGTTGAGCTCTGTTAGTTACACAAAGCACAGCATATTGTATATCTCAGGCCTAACTTATCTCTTAGCTTTTCTTGGGTGAAACAGTCCTCCCATTCAGTTAACTGAACCTCATTGTTTTCCTATTCCGTTGACCTCCCACTTTCTTTCCCTCTTCTTTCAGGCCCTCAGGAGGACCCTGGTCCTCCTTATTCCAGTAGTTTTTTTTTTTTTCCAAAAGCACACGCTGACATTTGCTAGACTCATATTAGTGGTTTATAATAGCTGGCTCTGTTTAAAAAATGAAGTCTGAGTCTTGTCTCAAGAGTTTTTTTTTTTACTACACTTCTAATCCACTTTCCTTTTTCCTTGTAGTGTCACTAGGACTACGGCCTCATGCAGAGGGACTATGTAGAAGAATTCAGCTAAGCTTTGTTTTCTTTTGCGGAGGGTAGGCTTGGTATAAGTGCTTGTCATCATAAGCCTTTAGAAAATATGTCACCAAAGCAGGGAGCGACTGGGGAAGACAAGAAACAAACAAACAAAAATACAGGTATATATGGCTTTAGTTTCAGAATTAGAACTTGAGGAAAAGAAGTAATATAACACATGAAAAAAGAAACATTTTTAGTGTAAGCGAATTATTGGGTCCATTTTTGTTGTAGAAATTCAATGTTACAAATAATAGTAAGACCTGCTGCAACCAGAAATTCATCATATACATAGCTAAGATATAAACTTTTCTCATTCTCATATAGGAGAGAGCAGGTAATGCTGGATGCAAGTCTAAATTCTGATACTCCATCAAGTATTTCTTCAAGAACAAGATTTGGGCATTTAAATTTTTACAGCTGTGGAAATTAAAGGGTAGTTATAAGTACAGAGAGGAGTTGCTTCCAAAATTCTAGGCTCCTTCCCAAGTTCTTTCTATTACAAGCCCCAAAATGCCAGCTTCCCCACTTTGCTGCCATAGAGCTTGTCCTTTTTGATCCAAGCTGCTACTCACTTCCTCACCCAGAAGTGGAAGTTGCTGTGGTGGATCATCTATGGCACAGGACAAATGTGGGAACACACACGCAAGCAGATATCAGCAGCCTCTTTGACAAAAGAACAACTTACTGTGCCAGCTGCTCCCTGGCAAATATTAATATTTACAGTATTACTCTATGGGGTGTGCAGGGTAGATTATTGCTTATATGTTGTGCATGCCTACAATTGGCAGGGAGCAGCTGGCAGAGGGTAACCTTTGCCTGTGAAGCACCCTGTTGGAACCGGTTCCTGCACTGGCCTCACATATTTTCAAAGTTATTGTTGCCTGAAACTAGTTTTTTTTTTTTTCCTTTTCTCCATCTTACTAACAAAATACCTAAATCAGTACAATTCCAGAGACATTGTTTTGCTGTTCCATTTGGAAATGAAAGCATTAAACAAGATGCTGTTTCAGAAGGTGCTTCAGTATTGTCACTGTGGACAAGAACCCAAATATCTAATGCATTTCCATGCTTTCATTTAATGAAATGAAGGTTTTTTTAGTCAGTTTTCATAAGAATATGAAACTCAAGTGATTATTCTATCTCTATATCTCTGAGTTTGCTTATCGAACAATCACCCATCGGTCACTTTCTAGATAATTGCAAAGTTAATTAGAGGAAAAACTGAAGCTCGACCTCGTTATTAGACATAAGAAAATCTCTGAAGCAGAGTTGCACAGAAAACAAGGAACCATAACTTTGTTCACAAGTCTGCTAGCTATATTCTCCACTCCAAAGAGCACAATTGACTCAACACTGAACTATAATGGAGCAGTTCTCTGGAAGTTATTTGCATAGCTTTTTAGCAGGGTGAGCTCGTTCTTATGGACAATTCAGATATCTTGGTGAAAGAATTACGTTAAGGTAGATTATCTCAGGGGAGATTCTGCTGAACTATAAAGAGAAAGCAGAACTCAAGAAAGAGTAAAGTTTCTCCTAGGCATATGGCAAGTGTGGATAATTCTTCCTTTTCTTACTATCCGTTCTGAAAAATTAAGCAGAAATTATTATGAGTTAATCTTTTGAGTTGTCTTTTTCTTTGCTTCTTAGCAAAATTAAAATTAAGTTCCGTAAGAACACTTTTTTTTCAAATTGAAGCCAATTTTTTTAAATATCTTTTAATAATTAATGTCTGTAACTTTTCAAACAAAATTATTTTGAAAGGCAAATGCTAATGCCTCAGTTAAAAATGTTAAAATGAAGACATCTAATCTTTTTAATTCCTTTCTCGGTAGTGACACTTGAAGGAAAAAAACAAACGGTAAATGAACTCTGCCTTTTTAGCTAGTATATTATTGTCTGGCACAAGAATTGACTGACAAAGAAAAAAATACGGATGACTACCTTCATCCTTAGACAACTCGTGAGGAACGCCATTACCTGTTAACAGGCACCAAGTTCTTCCTTGTCAAACATAAATGTCTACAGAACAGACACCTACTTTCTGAGAAGGCCATCTTATACTGCCTTTCTAATCAATGGAGTAAAATAGGGAACAATTCATCTGATGTATTTTAGCTATCTATTTTAGAAGGCCTTCATCCTGAAATACATACCAAGAGAAAGTAAAGGGAATCTTGGTCTAATAATTTAGGTTTGATGCGGTTGCCCATCTAGAGGGAACTACCACATTTGAGATACGGCATGGAATCTCGCACAGCCTCCGGCTGCTGCTCCAGAATAGCACGTCTCCTCTGAGCTCCTTGTCATATCGCAGGCTGATGTATTGGATACCTTGGCGCCTCTCATATGGCAGCAGACGTTTGAGATGGTTGTGGATGTACGACATCTGACATCTGCATGGGCAGCAGAATCTAGCATCTTTTTCCCTCCATTTGTTAGAAAGGTCACTGAGGGTGACTTTCCCAGAGCAGAGAGCATTTATAGCTAGGTGAGAAGAATCTTATTCATGTTTTTGAGAAAATAGCTTTGGGGGAGCAGAGTAGAGAAGCTTGCCGTATTCTCATAGAGAACGAAGACCTGTAACATGCAGAACAGTTCTAGAGGATCACAGAAAAATACTATGTTTATGTGAATAATTTCCAACAAACTGAAACAGTGAGGAGAAATAAAACTCAACCTCTAAGCATATGAAATCTTCTTAGCAGCTTTAATTATTCAGTGTGTTTGCTGGTGAGCTGACCTACAGGTTAAGAGTGTCAACACACACCTTCTATGCTCAAAGGCTATGTTAAGGTGAAATAAGTGTCTGTATAACACAATATACAGATTTGAAGAGAGTGGGACGTGGAGAAGACAAAACCATACCCCTCAAAGGAACCATATAGCTTATTTCCAGAAAGATTGTTCTGTGCATTGCCTTTTGAAATCAGCTTGAAATACAGTCAGTTATGTGGCTAGATGAACGGAAGGAGCATGCACTGCTTTGACAGAAAGGCAAACATATCAGTTTAAATTTAACAATCCCTCCACTCAAGTAGTCATTCTGAAGCTTTCTTATGTCATTCAGCTGACATCAGATCAATAACATTATGACATTTTATGTCATATAAGTGACATAACACAAATTGTTCAGTGAAAGCCTAAAAGAATAGAAAAATGCCAAGGAGCATATATGACTTGTGTATATATCTTTTCAAATAATGGCCTCTTACACATCAAAGATGTTAACTTGCTTCAGGTTTGGCATATTGCCTTGCTTAGCAATTATTAAAATTGTACTAAGTGGACCACCTGTCCCTGAAGAAATTTGGACTGATCCCTAAGAAGACCATTTTGCAGAACTCATTACTTTTTCTCTGAATATACACTTTCAGAGAGATTTGTTCTGCTTCATTGTTTCTACTTCAATCCCATTTTCATCTTTCTATTATTGCTGTATGAGAAACAGTATTATTACAATTTTCCTTGAAGTGTAGTTGGATAAAAACTGTATGCATAAAACAATGCAATGAAGTCTTTATGAACAATGACCAAATATATAAATATATAAAATATATAAAAATGTATATTTTTAACAGTACTCTTAAAGTCTGAACAGTAAAACGGGAAAAAAAGGACATCATTTGAAGACTGATTGTAAAACACCCTCCACTCAAGGCAGCCTAAACAAGTACCAGTTTAGAAAAGTGTAAGAGCAAAACTTTGCAAGACAAACTACTTGGCACAACATAATTGGAATGCAGAAAGACATTGTTCTGTGATGTTGAGAAAGTATATTATTAGCAGAGATTTTATTTTGTAGCTCAATATATATATTTCTATTCCCCCGGACTTCTTATTTTGAAGTGAACTGCTTGTAATACAGGGCACAAATCACTACATTATAATGAAAGACTCGGTTTTGAATATCCAGGGATAATTTGATCCGAATAAAGCAGCTTCATGTTATACTTCAGGGTTGTAAAACCTTTGTGATATAGTCTGTCATTAATTTGATCACGCCTATTGGACAAAGGGCTTTTCTGTCTGCGGTGGTAACTTACCTCTTAGTTAACCTAGAGTACCTAGAGTAGGTAGAGTCTCTACCTAGAGTAGGCAGAGAAAAACCGATGCTTAAGAGGTATGATTTGTCTAACTTATTTTAGTCATATGCATTAGAATAAGGTGAACCATTCCAAAGACACCACTGGCAACTTTGTATAGCCCAGTAGCTATAAAGAGAATCTGCAGTGACTTGCAGAGCTCTAGACATTTGGTCAAAGGACTCTCTCCTTGCATAATTCTCCAAGGAAATAGTTTCCCTCTATGCACTATTTGTAACAATGACATTCCCTTGAGTGTCACATTTGCATTTGCACTCCAAAGATGTTAATGTTTCACCCTAGGCTAAGCAGAGGTTGCTAGGAACTACTCAAGATTAACTATGCCTTCCTCTATAGTATCTGATCTCCTGATCCTAATACTTTAATTGGTCATTTTTAATATGAAAACAACAGCCATGGCTCTGAAAACTGCTAAGGCCTAAAGAGCAGAAGGGCAAGAGAGCACTCCAGGGAATAAGATCACTTAACATCACCTTGTTCCTATGCGTGACTCCCTAGGTCTTAATATTGACCACTGACACAGACAAGAAACATCATGAAGATTTGATCTCACCAGTCATGGCTGTTCCTGTGTCCCAAGATGTGCTCTTTCTCTAATTCCTCAGTGGTGCATACATCTAGCATTCTGCCTGTGCGGGAAAGGGTTTTTTTATTACTTTGTCATTAAAATAATTCTGCAGGTAGGCCAGGCATAAGAAGCTTTTATGTGAGTTGCAATTTAGATTTCTCAGGAATACTGATTTATCCTAAGATCTAGTAAAAGCGTCCTTTGATCAAGTGTCTTGTTTATGAATAGAAGTCTAGGTACTACAGCACAAGGGTGTATTATGGTAGAAGAAGCTTCTCCCCACGTGGTTTGCACACATAAATGGTAACACTTCCAAACCTAAATAGTATAATGAGTAACCAAAAAAGGGGGTTTTACTGTAAAAGAATAAAAGAAATTGGAGCAGAATTTTATTTCCAACACATGCCACTGTGTGAGGAGTTCAAAACAAAGTTGTGTCTTTTTTTTTTGCTCTCAAGAACTTGATGGATTCCTCAAAATGGCTCCACTGCGGTCAAAAATTACAGACAACTGAAACTAAACTGAGCTCTTCATTTGAAAAGGTGGGAAGAGATATTTGACAAGAATAATTTTATTTACTGCTTTTCTTTTTTTTTTTCTCCACTGCACCTCTAGGCAACATGTTGCAGTGATGTATACATGTATTATATGTGTCTGTGCATAGACCAGCACTCTTAACTCCTCTGCAAAGCAATGGCCTAATTTTTAATATTTGAATACCTAATACAAAAATCAGTGTATAAATACACTGTTAGCACTACTTTTAAACTTCCACCCAAACTGTGTGACTAGTATCAACTGTGAAGGCAAATTTTCTCAGGCAGATTCTCAGAGCAGAATCAGTGGCATTTATTATAGCTCCAAGACATATATCTTGTAGAAAAGCAGACCTTTATCAGAGCAAGACCTGCTAACACAAGAGAGTGCATTGTGCATTAAAGTCTCTACCTCACATTGCTTACAGACTAGTTAATACCAGTGGGACAGGGAATGGATATACAAGAAAAGTGACTTACTTGTGGGTGCATTGCCAGTCAGTAACCAAAGTGAGCATGGAACTAACTCTCCAAGTTTTTAGCTGTCTTGTTTATTAGGAGAAACTGCATCAACCAAAGTACAGTTGCTGAAGTATTTTATTGTAGGTCTCAGATCCAATACTCTAGAGACTTAAAGATCCTCATCTGCAATGCAAAAATACAGATATAAAATCAGTAACTGTGACAAAGACCTTTTACAACCAGGTTGCTGCCTTTTGATTATGGAGTTCTCCAGTCTTCTTCAGATTTAAGTGCTTAGCTGCCATTTTAGGTTCCTAGACTGGAAATGTAAATGTTTAAAATATTTCTCCTCATCTACTGACTTTTGATCCCTAAAATTACCAAAGTGACTGCAAATCTGCCTCTGAGCAGGCCATAATGCAGATAAGCCTTGAACGGGCTTAGCTGTCTAAAATATGTTTGAGTACTGTCAGGAATCACGAACTATGTGCTGCTTAATTCAATAATTCAGTTGGAGGACTCACTCTAGATGTGCGGTCAGTTCATATGGGGACCCATGGTTCAATACCTTTCTTTGGTTGAGAAGATTTAAACTTCACTTCATTGGCATGAATTTTCTAGATACAGAAATACCTGGCAGCCTTGTTTGACAGCAAAGTTTCTACAGATCTCCTGTTGAATTTATTTCACTTTGCACTGCATGCATAAAAATTAACTGGACTAGGGAAGGGAAAAAAAGTTAGTTTGATTATATATATTCATCTGGGTACCTTTCTATTACTGGAATAACAGTGACTAATGGCCATGAGGTAGTGCCAACCTGAAGTATCCATGCATTGTATCCCATTTTGTATTGTAGGTTTTCCATAAGTGTTTGGCCCCTTCCCCAGCTGATACAAAACAGCTAAATTCTAGTCAGTTCTAGTCTAGTGTAGTCATGGGATCTTGCCTGACCTTCAGTAGTGTCTGGGGTAGTTAAATGTTGTGCACATCCTAGATCTCCTTCTAACTCCAGTCCACAAAGCTGTGGGCTTAATACATCTGTCCACCTATAGACATTTAATGTTACCTTGGATACTGTAGGGTGATCCTGTCTAGCCTCCAACTGCTGCTCCCAAAGCACAAGGATATGTCTTGTAGAGCCTCTGTCCTATCTGTCAGTCCCATGTGGATGACTTGGGTAGCCTAGAACTTCTCACAGCTAGGGTGTATTTATAGCTGCAGTTGAATAGTTTCTGCTTAATTGTAACTTTCTAGACCAACCTGTTGCTTTTAGCTCTGGAACGTGCTGTGTTCAAACCACAGGGAATTAACTAAATGTTATTTATCAAACTTGGATACTAAATGAACAGTTCTTCAACTGGTATAATCAGATTAGCTTCACTGGGTTCCACGGAACAATGCCAAATTACACCAAATGAGGATCTGATACTCTAGTAACTGAAATTTCTAGGACAATATCAATATCATAGAACAATGCCAAATTACACCAACTGAGGATCTGATACTCTAGTAACTGATATAACAGAAATTTCTAGGACAATATCAATATCAAGCTGCAACGGAATGTGAGAGAGCAAAATTTAAAAGGAGGATCAGGAAAGGTCAAGAAAACCTTTCTTTGAATCAAGCATATGTGAAGCTTGTTTCTAAGTGTTTGCATATGACCGTATTCTTACACTGCCTCTGAGGGAGTTTTGAGTTGTTTTTCTTGGAGAATTGGACACAGTCAAAATAAAAAAGTGCTTGCAGTAAGAAAGGACTACCTGACCATCACCACCAGGAACCCTAGCTGTAAAATCCTTTCTTATTTCAGGAAATTAACCTCAGCATCCAAGGAGATTGGTGGGGAATATGGATCTTCTGTAGGCATATGGGGAGAAATCATATATTTGATGACGTCTCAGGGAAAATTGCTGGTAGCCTGTGGACTGGACCTTGCCATTGCAGTATTCTTGCTTATTCTGTAACTTTAAAGAAATAGGACTAAACATAATAATTGAAGGCAATGGTGTCCGGAAGCCAGTGAAATGAGGTAGAACTTAGCAACAACTGAAATACTTTGAAATTAGAATTACGAAAAAAGCCATGTAGGAAGGTTTTAACATGAATTGATTTAGCTTTCCTTATCTCCTGAAATAGCCTCTTCTTTCATCTTTCTTTTTTATGATGCATTTCTCTTTTGCAAATGAAGCTTCATCCTCAAATTATCAGGAAAGGATTAGTCTGCTGATTAACGAGCTGACACTACTCACAAGAGTAGTTTTCAGGTACTTCATTTAAAAAAAAAAGGATAATATTGAACTTTCAGAAGATTTATTAAACTAGCAGAGATTTTTCCAACACTTTACATCTCTTCCTTTCAGGAAGAAATCTCATTCAGGATTCAAGTGAGCTTCTGACTGCCACCTGTGTGCTGGGAGTAGGGCAGAGAAGGGAAAATGAAATGCCCAGAACAAAAAAGCGTCCTTTTAATATAAAGATTAAAGGCTTCATTCTTTGGGGACTAGGACTCCTGCTGGTATAAATCACAATCTTCATTCTTTGGGGACTAGGACTCCTGCTGGTATAAATCACAATAACTCCCTTAAACGAACCCAGCTCTCTTCTTTTACTGATCTCTTTCTCTCCGTGATGCCCTCTAATTGGTTCTTGAATGGTCAAACTGTGTTCATTTCAGCATTCTTGCTTGATAGGCTGTTCTGTTCCTATCACACTCTCTTTATGCAAAAATGCTGCTTTGTGCAGCTTTTGTGCAGCTACTGCACCTGTGCAGCTACAGGTTGCTTTCCTTTCATAGCTCAGTCTGTTACTGTCTTGCCAGCCAGCACCTTTCCTATAGCGACATTGCCTGCTTGCATTCTTCACTCAACTTTACCTGTTTGACCTTCCCATCTTACAAAGGGTGATTTTCTCCATGTTTGGCCGAATTTCACTTTGTGGGTGTCATGCCGTTTCTCCTGTCCATGAGTTTGGTGACATCGGTCTGAGAGCAAGTGGAGCTCATTTGGCAAACGAGCGAGTGATTAACAAACTGTTTGTAAAGGATATGAAGAATTGCACCTTGTGCAGAATTTTACCACTGATGAGATGTGGGAGTTGGCAGAGGAGCTGAGTGGGATCACCTTGAGTATCCCCAGCTGTGTTGCAGGTAACCCAAGGGAACATGGAGGATATTGCAGCTTCTAATTGCCAATTCCTTTTCCTTTATGAGAACTTATACATACACCTGTGGCCCTCGGAACATTTTGAAAAAAATAGTTATTTAGCTGATGCAAAGGAATCTCACTTTAACTGTGTGCTGTGATGGCTGTGAATTCTGTCCAGCTGTATTTACTTAACGCATGGGTAAGGATTAAAGGGCAGGGTAAGATGGGTGACACTGTTGTGGAGGTTTACTACAGGCCACCTGATTAAGAAGAGG